TATACACCTGGACAAAAGTTAAGCAGCACTACATTTTTTTCATATCTCATTGTTTTTTATATCTTTTGGAACAAACTACATGTGACGTTTATCTCATGTGATCAATGTTTACGGTACCAGTATTACCACTGATGCTTACTGAAAGGTTGGTAGAAGGACTTGGTGGACCCCCCTGACGGTTGCAAGTTCTCAGCCAAAGTTTGGAGCAGAATTCTAAATGGTCTCTAATGACGGTTGCCATGGAACAATCACAAACATGGCATGAGTCAAATCCATTTAAATTTCTGTATTACAATACGAGTAATATTATCAACAAAAACAAAATGAATACATGATCTGATTTTCAAAATGGCTGCAGTATGGGGAAATGGTTAGTCGGTGCTTGGCGTTTCTCCAGGTGCATATGATCAGTGTATCAATGTTCTACAGGACAATTCAGGATATACTCAAGATGTGACTTTTGTGAAACTACACATCATAGTTATAAGTTATGTCCAATGTATATAAGGCATGTCTATATAGGCATTGTTTTCTATTACTTGGTTGATCACCTGTATTCTATGATGGCTGTGGCTTTGTTCCCATATAAAAACGCTAGAAGTTTCCTCACACAGTTCACAAAAATGCCAAATGAATATTAGAGTATAACAAAACAGCATGGGTGGTCACGAATAATAGAGCATTTGAAATTTGATTGTTTGAGGAATGAGAGAGGTGTTTATGTGACATATCAGAGTTACTTCCCTTACCATGTTGAAGTCCTTTGGATTAATAGCATGTTCAACCACACTTATGAAATCCATTAACCAAGTAACAGAAAATAATTGCCCAATTGGACATCTGTTAAATGTGCTGACGCAGCTGAAGTGTCTGAGGGTCTGAGTTTTCCGAGCTCTCTGAACTGATGAGCTGGAAGTTGGACTCAATGAGAATTAACAGCCTGGTGAGGCTTGTTAATTTGACATCTCAAATCTTTATTTTATATTTAGGTACTGTATGAAATTTTTCATTTTCAAAATCCTTTTATACAATTTTATGAAGATTAACTGATTAATTGTACCAAATATTCAAACCAGTGAAGCATTGATCAAACCAAAACTTGGATCAGTCGCTCAAACATGAATTCATTGGTTGACTGGATATATAACTTCTGTTGCCCTTCCATCATGTCAGTCAAAATGAAAATGTAGAGTTCTGATATTTGTCGACAAATGGTAGCGTCATATCTTCCACCACATCAGGATGTGTATCGCGGGTTTGTTACTTCCTTGTCTTCCAAATACAGGTAGCTTGTATGCATCATCTGAAAGTTCTGACCATTGTGTACATGTTCACACGTTTGTGCGGGGGTTAACTAGTGGGTCACTTTCATCTGGACTGATGCACAGGACAGTGTACGATGCAGTCCTTGTTGCAGATGTTGCCTCTTGGTAATGGACATGATATGTCATGTTTGGCTGATGATGTGCCATGTTTGGCTGATGATGTGTCATGTTTGGCTGATGTGTCATGTTTGGCTGATGATGTGTCATGTTTGGCTGATGATGTGCCATGTTTGGCTGATGATGTGTCATGTTTGGCTGATGTGTCATGTTTGGCTGATGATGTGTCATGTTTGGCTGATGATGTGTCATGTTTGGCTGATGATGTGCCAGGTTTGGCTGATGATGTGTCATGTTTGGCAAAAGTATTCAAATTGTGCATGAAACATATGGTCAGCCAAAAAAGGAAATTATCATGATTATCCCTGCAGTTCACTGCACCACAAACCTGTGATCGTGGGTTTGAATCTCAGATTTGCACTGATGATGATTCAAGGTTTGTCAGCACTGTAGGTTTCACCAAAGTGATAAACATCTAACACCTGCATCACTGGGGCTTTCCTCAGACATCAAGCTGACATGCCATGAAATATTGCTAGCTGTGGTTATAACCAGCATGATGACCCAAATGAATCTGTTTTCCATCTCAACTTTTCCCGGCTTCCCTGACCTGAGAAGTCACTCATAGTTGGGGCTTACACATACAGAATAGTTATTTTATCAGAATGTGTTGACATTTATATTTTTTCAGAAATGTACACAATATGTTCAAATTTTCAGATGAAAAATACATTGTTACTTGATCAAATCTGCTGAGAGGATATTTTAATTGCAATTTTTATACAAGAAACATATCAGTTGCACTAAAATCATCTTACTAACGGCTGGTATGGGTAATATTTATTCTAGATTTAGCAAACACCATGGTAACAGATTAACACCCATTCACATTAGAATTTCATTTAGCAGTACTAAACCAATTTAAGAATCACATTCAACTCAGGGAACTCCTTCCGACCAATTGAATAACAACGTACAACATATCAGAAGGGACAATACAATACAATAATACCCGGTTGTTACTAATGTCCAGATATAGGCATGTGGGTAAGACGTTTTATTTCTTATTAATCCATTCAGACCCTGAAATTAGTAAAGAATAATAATTATTCATAACAATTCTTTTTAATGGTTTAACAACTAGGTGTTGTCCCCCAATAACTGACATATAATTTGTAGTTGTTAATGTGATGAAACCACTACCATGTACCCACTGACAACTCCTAAGACTAAAGTTGCTACTTGAAATCCGAGTCAACACACTGGCAGATGTTTCGTACATTTGCTGGAAATGGTTGTATAGAATGATGATGTCAAACCATCAACCAGCTACACTGAAAGCAGTGACTTCCCATTGAAACATGTTTCCTCTTCGGTCAGTGATAGTTTATTATAAATAAATATATATGGAAGTTTCCCCCTGATTCTAATCAATATCCAATCTCATTAAAACCAGATCTTAGTGCTCCAGCACGTAGACCTGATTTTAATGAGATTTGATGCCTATCCTCACAATACCTGTACTCATGGGTGTCATGAGTGGTGAACTTCTACAACATGCTTCACTTCGGATGATACCGTATTTGCCCTGATATGCACCCTGTACAAAATCGACAAAGGGGTCGCTTAGGCTAAAAAAAAATAATAGTCTTGGTTCTCAGGCACCGTCCACATCATAAAGTCTGCTGTATGTTTCGTATTTATTCCCATTTAAAATTTCTTTTTAAAAATCCTTAAATATTCCAAGTCCCATGGTAGTCAAACCAGTGTTATACTCATCAAGGCCCTTTCCCAGATTGATTGTACAATACTGTTTATTGGGTTACATACTAGTTTGAACAACAACAAAAAAACAATGCCCACCTGCATTATATTTTCAAATGTCATTGCCTGAGAACCAATTCTTTTATTTTTTACGCCTTATTATAACTACTTTGTGTAAAATTGGATTTCCTGAGCAAAAATAGTTCAAACGTTGAGGAGACTAAAATTTCTTCGATAATGGTCACCTGGCAGTCATAATACACTCATTAAAGTACAAAATCTGTAATGTACGTGCACAAGAAATATGTTTGATCATAGTAGGCAGCATTTATATAGATTACTTACATATTGGTGTATAAAATTGGTCAGGGGCGCTTTCTGAAGCAGGCCACTCAATGCAGAGAATATGTTAAAGCTGGTGTGCTATAACTGAAATACTGTCTCAAAGCGGCATGAAACCTTCCTTAATCAAAACTTTCTTTCGAAACTTCTTTAAGTTTTACTAAATATCAACCACATTTCTTCAGGTATGCTCAGCCCATGCTCATAGATGTGATCTTCAATCAAAGGATTCAGGTCCTTAATGTAAATCAAATGGTTTTCTTCCATCCTTTGTGCCTGTATCCTGTCTTCACAGCCAGTTCTGTCAAATAGAAGAGCAGGTCCATGGAAAAGTCTCATTTTATAAGATGGAATGCATGTATGGGCTGTATCCTGTCTTCACAGCCAGTTCTGTCAAATAGAAGAGCAGGTCCATGGAAAAGTCTCATTTTATAAGATGGAATGCATGTATGGGCTGTATCCTGTCTTCACAGCCAGTTCTGTCAAATAGAAGAGCAGGTCCATGGAAAAGTCTCATTTTGTAAGATGGAATGCATGTATGGGCTGCTAGCTGTAATCATGTGGTAATATTAAGCCATAGCAGTTTACAATAGGATTATAGCATTCAATGACAAACCACTAGTTTTAGGGGCTTCAACAGACTTGTTGTCCAGGACCTGTTGGTGTTAAGTCTGTTAACAGAACTCGCCCACTCACTGACTCAACTAAAGTGAGGTAAATAAGACCAACACCTGATTTCTTTGTTAGTTCCCCATGTACTGGCAAGCACCCACCACAAAGACTAGATCACTGCTACCATGTCACCAACCTCCTCTGACCCATCCTCGTATCCAGGGCCCATTCCACAAAGCGATCTTAGCGCTAAGACGGTCGTAAGCCTATGTTACAGTATGACAACCGTAGCGTTATGATCGCTTTGTGAAACGGGTCACTCAGTATTACATCTCCATTCAATGTTGATAAATACCTTGGAACCATTTGCTACCATAGATTTATTTTGAGACCCATTTGAGTAACTCAACGCTAATATTAGCCGTTCAACAAGTGAGAATTCTGTGCTATGTTAGATATAGAAGCGACATGAGTAAAATCACTTCCTAAATGAAGCGTTCGCTCGTCACGCCGAAGACCCGGGTTCAATTCCTGACATGGGTACAATGTGTGAAGCCCATTTCTGGTGTCCCCTGCCGTGATATAAACCATACTCACTCACTCACTAAATGAAGCTATGGTGGAGAATTGGTCCAGGTGTTTATAATCATATGGATTTGCTACCCTGGATGATCCAGGACCCATCACAACCAAGGATTGTTTACTTACCAACCATTTTCTTTTGTCTTGTGATAGTGTTCTGTTGTGTTCACCTGTGTGGTGTTCCCGTGTTCCTCTAGTGTGGTTTTGTTGTGTTCACCGTTTTGTACACTAGCCCGTCATAATGATAGCTGTACGTCCCTGTTGATGGCTCAGTGCATTATTACTGCCATCGAGAGAATGAACAAATAATAAAATGTAAACTGGTATAAAATTTATTTGTTTTCTTTTCATCTCTTTCTTCGTACTTTATTGGATAACACACGGAACATTTGTTTAACGCTGCAACAACATGCATCACTGTGGCCTGTAAATAATGTGGACCAGGCAAACCAGTGATTGATATTATGAGCAACAATACATACCGTCAGAATATGATGACCAATCAACTAAGTCACTGAGCCTGACCACCTAATCCATTCAGTCGATCGTATAGTGAAGTACGTTTATAACGAACACGATTATAATGAACCGATGGATATAACAGGTTTTGGGGTCCCATCAATTTGCTGTATATATATGCTTTTAACGAACTACGGTTATAAAGAACTAAAATTAGTGGTCTCTTTGAGTTTATTATAACCATAGTTTACTCAACAACAAACATCCGTAACTACAGACTATGAATATGACAACATAAATAATTGCTAATGCTATCAAACACTAACCTAAACCAGAATTCCCAGGGTGCAACATCATGTAGTCATGGAAACGGGTTTACAACACATGATGAGAGCCCAACAATGATTATTGCACCGCAATGGCACTGACCTAGCTAGTACTTGGAATCACGGTTGTGCCAGGTCCGGGGTTCGAGTATTTACATACTGGCTGGAATACTCGTGACTGTGACAATAAACAAAATCCACTCTAGCTCCTTAACCAGGAACCCACGAGTTAAATCCGTCTTCAGCAACCCATGCTTGCTGCAAGAGGCGACGTTTACAGTCAGTTAACTCCCTTGCCTCGGGAAGACTGTGAAGATGATGTACCTAAGTCACAATGAGTCAAACTGAATGTATGGCATCTTCATGGTAAGGGTTGTATTGATACAGTGTGTCATGTTGGTGATTCATGGATTTATATATCATACGATCATGCATGTTGGGTTGTGTCATCACCAGGAGGATTTCTAACCATCTCTACAGCAACCCTTGCGTGACGTAAAAGGCGACTATGCATGTCGTAAGAGGCGACTAATGCTCGCTGACTTATTTGATGCATGTCATCGTATCCCAATTGCATAGATCGATTTTCATGATGTCAATCACTGCACTGTGTGGTCCAGACTTGATTATTTACAGACCACCATCATATAATATACAAAGCTTGAATATTGCTGAGTGCGGCGTATGACAACAAACAACACAAACTTAGCTACATGAAGTGGTCGAAGACAATGTTTATGCTTATACGGTTGTCATATCGTGATAACGATGTATTGGTAAATCCTTAATATCGGTACTGTATTGAAACAAATTATGAATATCGATACTAAATTACTAATTCATTGTTACAGAAACATTCACATTTATTAAGATGACCATAGCAAAGATGGACAGTGACAATTCAATTTTAAACATTAAATGGACAGGCCCAGTTCATATTTAGCACTAAATTCCATGTCTACATAGGTCATTTGTATCTATCCACACACAATCATGAATCCTATGTAATCGATATTGGGTGAGTCTATATATCAATACTAAAATTTTCAATCAGTGACGCCCATATGGGAAACCATCTAGAATTTATGAATACACTAGAGTTCAAACAAGAACGATAAAGACATGTTACCATGGTCCTGTGTGGTGAATAGGACCAGGGAATTATCATAAATAGGGATAGTTATATCTCTCCATCATAAACAAAACTGATTCTCATAATATGTTAAGGGTATATATAAATAGCATGACATCTCATTACTGTAAATTGTGAATTAATGCGTCTCCAAAAGAATGCGACCACTGGACCCTAGCCAAAAATGCGACTCAATATGAATGTGACACCCCCTCCTCTCAAGCATCAGTGGATTTCTATCTAAAGATGTCCTCAGTCAGGTTTAGAATCCTCACCTTAATCCAACCTTACATTAATCCAATCACACACCAAATAGCACCGCTTATTAGCGCTGAGTAAAGTACTTCCGCAAAAACAATACATGAGCGCTGGCTCATGTCGGCCTTTGACGCAAGAACAAAGGGTGGCGTCTCTCTGGACTTGCAGGTGTGATCAGTGATGACATAAGTGAGTAGAACTTTTGTCTTGACCCCAGCAGTGACAATTCACAGGATGTAATTAGTGTTTGAATGACATTGTACTTTATATACAAGTGCTGCTCAATAAACAGTGGTGTGGAATACATCAGCGTATGTCTACGTTGATATTTTTGCTATCTAAAATGTCTTATTGTTGATATAAATGCGATGTTTAAAAATGCGAGCAAAGACCACTCGCATTTTTCGCATTTAATTCACGCTTGCATTAATTTCACGATTAACAGTATCCCTATCAAAAGTTGAATGGTATATATATAATACAATGAACCAACAATATGTCTGCTTTATCATGACATCATGCCTTGCGATTTTTGGAAACATTAAATTTACCAACATCTCAGAATCATTTCAATGTTGCTGGTTCAGTATGGCTTTATCCATATGATACACTGGATAATTGAGGTTCCAAAACAATATCTTCATACAACAATAGACGTAAAACAACATTCGATCTGTGCATTCCCTATTGAATTCCATTGATAGTCTGTCCTACACTTCCATTCGAACCAGGTTCATCCCGGCTTTAAGATTAACTTTCTTCAATAGCACCCCTAACTGGCCTCCTGGGCCGATCTCGTAGGTCTTCGGGAATTGTCTCCCCTGGTCACGTGCATACAGCACATGCATTGTCTGTTCCCACTTGACGGGCTTGCACATCTGTTTGGGTAACAAGTCGATGACACTGCCGGCGTTCCTGTACCTGGAAGCGTTCACGTTGTTGTACACAGGAACGCGAGGTTTATTCAGCTCCAACCGTTTCAGCTTGGCCTGGAATGGAGCCTTAGCTGGATCCATGAGATTGGTGTGAAAGGCTCCACTCACAGGGAGCCATTTTAGGCGGCGGATGCGGAAATCTCGGTGATTCTGCTCCAAGAAATTCAGTGCCTGGATGAAGAGAAAGAAATAGACTTACCTCACAGAACACTGCAGGACTATCTGAGCTCGAGATAAGCTGCGTATTTGCATAAAATATGCATTACATGCGCTTTAAATAAACTGAAATATATGCAGACAAATCAAATCCTCGCGTATCAAATATGCTAGAAAAACTATAAATACGCTATAAATACACTTACCGACAGTTACATTTGGTAAAGCCTGTGCTACAAACATTGCCAATTGAAAAGCACATCGTGCCTAGTCCATGTACATATTGTGTCTTAAACAGTCGCTGATCAGTGATTAAGGAAATAGTGCCTTTCTTACAATGCTATGTTTTGTAACAAAAATGGCTTCCCGGAGAGGGAGACGCAAGCAGACGCAGTCAGGTATACTACTATACACATAGTTTTAAATGATTTACAGGGATTGCATGAAACTTGTTTTCAAGTAAAAATAACCAAATGTTAAGAAACAGGTGGGTAAAAAAATTTGAATACCCTCTAAAAATTGTGGATACCTGATCAAAATCAAACCCCTGGGTAGAATACCCAAATAACCAAAGGCTTATCTACAGCTCTGAGGTTGGTCTCCTCAATCACCCAAGAGTACATGCAGCCGTGTCATGTCTTGTCATGTCTTGAGATAGTCAACATGGTCAAATAATGAAATGAGCAGCCTTTGCAAATCACGCTAGTCTGTTAGCCTGAGACTACTAAATTCTGCTTAGGACATGTGAAACCCAATGAGTGAGTGACTATGGTTTTACGCCGCTTTTAGCAATATTCCAGCAATATCACGGCGGGGGACACCAGAAATGGGCTTCACACATTGTACCCATGTCGGGAATCGAACCCGGGTCTTCGGCGTGACGAGCGAACGCTTTAACCACTAGGCTACCCGACCGCCCGAAAACCCAATGATGGTAGTCCTCATTGACTGGTAGCATTTGAGGGCTTAATTCTGAACCAGTTGCCAATGCTTGAATATTGCTACAAGCTGGAACTTAATAAAACTGACAGAAAATGTAAACACAGCAAACTTCTTTGTCTCGTTCAAACAGGACTAGCTACAAACTCTGAGGCAGTAAGTTTCCACTAGTCCTCTGGACTAGTCTTTTTCTAAATTTCTCAATTCCATTTGTGTCACCGAAGTCATATGAGCCCAACCTTTTTGTGAGAACAGTGCCTAACAGGGAAATGTTGAGTTGATGGCTACAAGTCTGCTGCACCTGTTGCATGCATCTCCTAGAAGCAAGGGTGTGAACTGACTATAAGAGTCCAGTTTCCACCCTTGCTGAACTTGGCTGGAATTTCCAGACTCGATCGTAGCGCCACCAGTGGCTATTACGAGTCATGTCCCTTCTATGTTCTTCCTATTGACCAATCAGATTCAGATGAGAGTGAGTGAGTGAGTTGGGTTTAACACCGCTTTTAACAGTATTCCAGTCATATCACGGCGTGTCAGCTTAATGTGGGAGGAAAGCCCGAAGTGATGCAGGTCTCAGACGTTTACCACTTCGGTGAAACCCACGAGCACGGGTATGGTGCTGACAAACCTAGAAACATAATCGGGGCGAACCGGGACTCGAACCAACAATCATAGGTTTCTGGCATGCCTAAGGGACGCAACTCTGCACAGCGAATCGCGGCGCCTCAGACGACTGGGCCACCCGTGCCCCCTGGTTGCATGAGAAATATTGCTTTTGTGCCATAGTATAAGAGTGCTCATTGGTCTTAGCACTCGTTGGTTTCCCCTCACTGGAACCTTCATTTGTCGGATAAAATAGCCACTACAACGCAAAGCAGCTGTATGTCTTCACTTGTGATGGAGGTACATAGTATGGGGTACTGACGATGTTCAAAGCTTGGCATACTTTAGTTATAATTATTTACAACTGTTAATTTGTCCAAACGTAAGTGATAAAAATACCACATCGCATGCACAGGAACACAGATCATCCATTTTCAGGATCAGCTTCACTTGAAATATTCCAGGTATACTCACCTCCATATTTCCTGCAACAACTTTGCATTCTGGGTAGAGATAGTTGGCGATGCTACAGACGGGGTTCTCCATGTGCAGCTTCACGCGACAGTACTCCTTGGCAGCATGGAGGGCAAAGTTGAGCTTCGTGTCGTGCCCGCAGAACACTGTCATCATACCACTCGGTGTCTCTTCTGATGCTTTCTGCATCGCCTCAGCTCGCACCTTCACTAGTTCTACAGCTGAAAAGCATGGCACAAAGTAGTTGAACTTTCCCTCATCGCTGCCATTTTGAGTGTGTAAGTTCCACAATTAATTTGCAGTATTAGCACACTTGACTAGGGCTGTTTGTCACTTTAAGGTCATGAAACTTTGTAAGTTAGTATCCAAAAATGTAAACGATCAATAACCTGATTTTAAGAAAAATCCTACTTATTGAATTAGAAATGCAAAAACATCTGGTTAACAAAAGGCACCAGTTCAACTCTTGTGTGTATACACAGTTTTATAAAGAAACAATAAACAGTTTATAATATATGTCCCAGAAACTAACCCTACCCTCGCAAATTGTTCCCTTTGCAATACCAAAAAGAAAGGCACTAGTTACGTGAATGCCTGACATGCATACAAAGTTTCATGAAGAAATATTGAACTTTTTTTAGTTCAGAAATAAACCCTACCCTCATTTGAGCATAAATCCAACCTGTTACCATGGAAATGCTAAGAAATTAAATTAAAATTTCTTGAAAAGCAAAACACACCAATTTCATGTACACCTGATGTGAACATGAGATTTCATGAAAAGTGAACTGTTTAAGAGTTATTGAGAAAACGAAACATGACAGAGAGATGGAGCCCATGCCTACATCCCCCGTGCACAAAACTGTTTGGGTGGGGGGAGAAATACAAACTCAGGGCTCAAAATGAGTCTGTGACCTGCCAATTCCAAGCCCATGATTGAGAAAGGCAAATCACTTTGTAGTGAATAAGACCACAAATATTAATGATTTCATTAGCCTTTGTTCAATTTGCCATGTCTTCAAATCCCTTTTTCACAAAATACTCAAGATATTGTGATGGATTGCCAAGTTTATCAACAGGTTGGGAAAGTTTTCCTCACCAAAGAAAGGATAATAGTATGTGAACAATATACAGTCGAACCTTGTTGTGTTGCATTGGATGTGTCGAATTCCTGGTTGTTTCGAACTTAACTTTCAGTCCCTGCCAATTCCTTCAATGTTCATCATCATTTATATTGGGATCTGTCAAACTGGATGTGTCGACCTCCCGGTTGTCTCAAACTCATTTGGGAGTCCCAAGCTTCCAAATTATGCATAAAATTCCCCTGATGTCTCAAACCATTAAAAAAATTAAAAATAATGCCCACACACTCGACAAACCTTCAATTCACCTCTCAAACAGTTGACTGACATCACTGTGATTGACGCAATAACATCACAAAGATTCACATGCAGGATACCTTCTAACAACATGCCAATATCCAATTAAACCCAATTAACAAGCACTCCTTACATCAATGGTGTAAGCTGATTAGTGCATACACATCGGCAGCAAGTTACTTAAGTGTGATCACATGACTGCTGATGACATTAAAATTGAGAAATGAGTAAAAATGATTAATATTATGGTTGTGAAATAACTTGATGTCAGTCAGAGTCTAGATGGGAACAGTGAGATCTATGATGCACCTGAGTCACCTTCCCCTTCACTATCAGCAGCCAGGGCACTTGAAATCTATTTTCGCATCCGGAACTGGCAATAATCTCTCATAACCTGTTTGGTTTTCGAAACTTCACTATCTTAATTGTCTCAAACCCTGGATAACGGGAACTTTTTCCACATCCCTATGAGTTCGACATAGTGAGGTTTGACTGTATGTATAAAACAGCCTGTGATAACATGATACAATGTACCAAAACACTCCCAACTTGGCCCATTGTGACATGACTATCAAAAGTACATCTTATGATCAAATCACAATCAGAAAATATTACTTGTTGATGTTTCAGGTTTCACAGATATAATCCTTCTGATTTTTACTGCATATTTCTGCATTTCTGATGCGTATTTTACGCAGATACGCAGCTTATCTTGAGCTCTGGATCTGTCAAACTGGATTTGTCGACCTCCCGGTTGTCTCAAACTCATTTGGGAGTCCCAAGCTTCCAAATTAGGCATAAAATTCCCCTGATGTCTCAAACCATTAAAAAAATAAAAATAATGCCCACACACTCGACAAACCTTCAATCCACCTCTCAAACAGTTGACTGACATCACTGTGATTGACGCAATAACATCACAAAGATTCACATGCAGGATACCTTCTAACAACATGCCAATATCCAATCAAACCCAATTAACAAGCACTCCTTACATCAATGGTGTAAGCTGATTAGTGCATACACATCGGCAGCAAGTTACTTAAGTGTTATCACGTGACTGCCGATGACATTAAAATTGAGAAATGAGTAAAAATGATTAATATTATGGTTGTGAAATAACTTGACGTCAGTCCAGATGGGAACAGTGAGATCGATGATGCACCTGAGTCACCTTCCCCTTCACTATCAGCAGCCAGGGCACTTGAAATCTATTTTCGCATCCGGAACTGGCAATAATCTCTCATAACCTGTTTGGTTTTCGAAACTTCACTATCTTAATTGTCTCAAACCCTGGATAACGGGAACTTTTTCCACATCCCTATGAGTTCGACATAGTGAGGTTTGACTGTATGTATAAAACAGCCTGTGATAACATGATACAATGTACCAAAACACTCCCAACTTGGCCCTTTGTGACATGACTATCAAAAGTACATCTTATGATCAAATCACAATCAGAAAATATTTCCTGTTGATGTTTCAGGTTTCGCAGATATAATGGAATAAGTTTAAACATGCATTTAGGGTGTCCTTCTGATTCCAATTTAGTTTCCCTGTACATAGATATTTACCATCTTCAAATGTGAGCACCTCAGCAAAGACTAGAGCCGACAGCTCTCCAACACTGAACCCAGCTGTGCCAACACATTTGTGATCCACCTGTTATAACAGAATGAGTGAGTATGAGTTTTATGCCACTTTCAGCAGTATCACAGCAATGGGTGAGGTGAAATGGGATTTAATGTTGTGAGTGAGTGAGTGAGTTGGGTTTAACGCCGCTTTTAACAGTATTCCAGTAATATCGCGGTGTGTCAGCTTAATGTGGGAGGAAAGCCTGATGTGATGCATGTCTCAGACGTTTACCACTTCGGTGAAACCCACGAGCACGGGAATGGTGCTGACAAACCTAGAAACATAATCGGGGTAAACCGGGATTCGAACTCACAATCATAGGTTTCTGGCGTGCCCAGGGGATGCAACTCTGCACAGCGAATCGCGGCGCCTTAGACGACTGGGCCACCTGTGCCCCCATTTAATGTTGTGTTCAAGATTATGACACTTACATGATATTGATGTTTATGCATGTCATTGTATCCCAATGCGTAGATTGATGCTCATGATGTCAATCACTGGATTTTCTGACACGATTATTTACAGACTGCCATCATATTTTTGGAATATTGCTGAGTGTGGCATTAAACAACAATCAAACAGTTATTGTTACCTGTTAACGATGCACTCAGCCACAGTCCAGCTATATGATGATGACCAGGAAATAACTTGAGTCTGACCAGACAAACCAGTATTTGATATTATGAGCAACAACCCACATTGTCAGGGTAAAATGACATGCCATCAACAAGTCAAGATCAAGTCACTGTTTCTGATCACCCGATCCATTAAGTTGCATCTTATGACCAGCATAGGATGCTGGGGTCCTATTCTGACCCTGACGAGGTGTCAGTACAATGAATATTTAAATGACAGACAGATATTTCATTACATCTCACCTCATTACTTTCTTCACACACAAAAATAAATAAAATGTGTATTAAAATAAATTAAATTAAAACAAAAAACCTAAGGGCCCCTATGTTGGGAATTATGAAAGACAAATACATAAATACCATGAACCACTCACAAATAACAAATTGGTCATTATATTCATATCACAGGAACTCGATATTGGTCAGTAAATAAAAATATATATACCCCCCCCTATCTCTACTTACATATAGGGGGTATATATTTTTATTTACTGACCAATATCGAGTTCCTGTGATTCATATAAAGTTTGATAAGATATCGCAAGTATTGAGTGTCCCTTCAATAGACATTACCTCTGGATGTATCTCCCTTAACTTAATCAGTGCTGCAAGGGAGGTAACCAATATGGCTGGTTGGCAAAAGACTGTTTTTCTTAACTCCTCAAAGGGCCCTTTCAAGCATATCTTCAAAAGATCATAGCCCAAAATGCTACTGGCTTTATCAAACAGGTCTTTCACACCTGGGTATGGCAGTAATTCCTTTCCCATGCCAACAAACTGACTCCCTTGTCCTTGAAAAAGCACAATTGATGTTAAAGATGGATCGATGACTGGCCTGTACGCTTTGGTACTTTGTAGTCTCTTTCTGTTATCATAGCTCTTGATATCGGATGGAAATTCTGGAGGGGAATCATCTGACAAAGTTACTGATTCTCGAACAAGTTCAGACACTTTTTCTGGTGAGTGCTTCTCCTCATGAATAACAGATGCATCTGGTGTGCTCTTTTCTGAGAAGGATATTTCATATTTTGTTTCTCCAGCATTCAGTTTTGTCAACTTCTTCAAAAATCGTCTTGGAATCCTTGGTTCAGTACTGCCGTGATCATCCTCGCTAGAAAAGGTTCTACTAAATAAAACAGTTTTTTGATTCCGTGATTTTATCAATGAACTTGTGCATCTTAGGTGTAAACAACGGTATGTGAATCTACAACACGATGCCATGTTAAAACAGCTGGGTATACCTTGTTGTCTACAAAAGACCCTCTACAAACATGAATTTGCAACGCATGGTAATCTTCAGTTGGTTGGAGTATCAATATTTTCCATGTGATCTCTTGACATTCACATTTGTAAACACATGTGCGTGTGCCGAAAGTGAGTCGTTATCGTAAAGCGGTTCCATTCATACATTTTACGACATCGTGGTTTATTTGTAAGTGTGTCTCTGTAGATACTTTTACGAGCTTTGCGTTACATAAATGTTCATCTAATGATAATGAAGAACTAACAATCCTGAATTATAAATATTATTTCCGCTATTCTGTTTTGCACTTTACGACTGTCGTTGGGTCAAGTGTAAAAGTAAATCAGGAATTTACACGTGAATAATTCACAAATCACACTTTTTTTCGTAAATGCCAAAAATATGTTCTGTATGACCAGTTCCATGGGCCAACATTGTTTGTGGATATTAATAATGTGACTCTCGATCGTAATTACGCACAAAATTTGTACTTAACGCGTGTTATACCAGAGCTCCAGATAAGCTGCGTATCTGCGTGAAATATGCATCAGAAATGCAGAAATACATAGTAAAATATAATCCAAGCGTATCAAATACGCAACGAACATTACAGATACGCTACAAAAATAAAACTTGTGCGTATCATCAAAATATTGTGAAGTAACCCTGCGTATTCGATTAGCAAATCAGCAACTCCACGATGACAGTTACATCATGATCATTTGCCATCACACTTTCTTGTGGAAGTATCGTGGTATTTTTGAGTCCTATAAAGCTCTCAAACCCACACGACACCAGTTTGCAGGGACTAGATGAATAGTGTTTTTAAATATTTAACTTAAATACCCACATGTGTAAAAACTAGTGGGTAACAGAAATTTGAATACCCAGATAGAATTACTGATACCCAATGATTTTAAAATGCATGGGTAAAATACCCACAACACCAAAAAGCTTATCTGGAGCTCTGGTTATACGTATGTTAAAATGTTTTTGAAGCATACAATATGATTCATCCGTGGGCCTTAAGAAACATACATTTATTCTTTAGATTTCTTTATGCAGTGATAAATGACACCATTAAATTAGGTCGTGAACATGTTTATTATCCCCATATTCGTTCATACAATCAAAATAGCACAGATTCGATTTGATATCAATCAATATTTATTGATACCACAAACTCGTTTTTCAGATATTTTTAGATCGAATATTTGGGATATCAAACATTCGTTTAACATAATGCCGAATTTAAGATATAAAAATTCGAATTTGTGATATCAATATATCTCCTTTTCAATTTCCACATGAAATGACCCCTTGGCTATCTGTGGAGTGTTTTATTAAAAGAATGTCATGTTTAGGATATTTGATAGAAAAATGTGTTAAACACAAACACAAAGAAATATATCCATAGAGTTTCACGCGTGACAGACATCAAAATTAATATTGCTGAGTAGAAGCTTATTCACTGTGGCACGTAGCCAGGAGTGAATTGTTGATATAACAAGTTCAATTTTTAGAAATCAATCTTCTACGATTCGATTTGTTATATCTACAAATTGACTTATGTTGATGTTAAAAAAATCGAATTGCCACTAATTATAGTTATTAATTAGCGTTTTTGTTAATAAGTATGTACATTGCTATTGTGAAATAATAGAACATGCTTAGAGATAGCATGTACATTGTCAACTACACAACTCGGCATTCAGATAAATCATTATTCAATTTTCGTAACAGAATCCCAATTCGTCCTTCACATGAAATTCTTTTCCCGCGAAATATACCACGTGACAGCTTTGTGTGTATTCCGCGGGAAAGTGTGTCGTGGAAGAGAGGCTGTACAATTTGCAATGTGAGTGAAATCTAGATTTCTTTGAATTTGATCAGTGATCAATATAATTATATGCCTTCTCTTACTTGATTTCGGTTAATTTTGCAAATGGAACTCATCGATCATGCTTGTCAGTGATCAGTTATGCTGTGGTAGCTCCAATATTTTCCTCAACTTGTTGATTTTGTTTCCTTCGTCAGCCATCGAGCGTGGCTGGGCTACGGTGTGTTATTTTAATGCAAAGTAAATATATTTTAACTAATAGATTTGTTTGATTGTTTTGTTTCGTTAGCTCGTTCGATATCACTATCTTCTTCACTAAGTAATGTCTTTTGAGATAACCGAGAGTGTTTTCATAACATACACCTGTCTCTTTCATACCCAGACTGATATGTTTGTACAAGGAAGCAATCGAGACGAATGCGCCACCTAAAGTTAACTCTTGACTCTAACGCTAGACTGTATTCTTGTGAAGATGTGTGAGCTGTTACTTTCAGCATTTATGGTTGTAAATAGAAAACTGTTCACGATCCTATTTGTAGTTCTTTCATGATGGATCAATAATTCCAACGAATAATTTTATAGTTTCTCAGACCCCACCCCCAACAAAAATCTTTAAGCCATACATGATGATTCATTGATATGGTCCAGACCTATACTGAAAATGGATGATAACTTTGTATTTACAGAGTAACATGAGTATCATAAGGAAGAGAATTTATGGACGTCAACTTCTTTATTATGAGGAACACATAATAAATCAAAGAAGTTAGTTCCTCCAGAGCTCCAGATAAGCTTTTGGTGTTGTGGGTATTTTACCCATGCATTTTAAAATCATTGGGTATCAGTAATTCTATCTGGGTATTCAAATTTCTGTTACCCACTAGTTTTTACACATGTGGGTATTTAAGTTAAATATTTAAAAACACTATTCATCTAGTCCCTGCAAACTGGTGTCATATGGGTTCGAGAGCTTTATAGGACTCAAAAATACCACGATACTTCCACAAGAAAGTGTGATGGCAAATGATCATGATGTAACTGTCATCGTGGAGTTTGGCAAGGTTGACGGAATGCCCGTTTATTATTTCAAAATAAGTTGCTGATTTTCTAATCGAATACGCAGGGTTACCTCACAATATTTTGATGATACGCACAAGTTTTATTTTTGTAGCATAACTGTAATGTTCGTTGCATATTTGATATGCTTGGATTTTATTTTACTGCATATTTCTGCATTTCTGATGCATATTTTACGCAGATGCATGGTTTATCTGGAGCTCTGTCCTCATAATTATGATAATAAAGAAGTTGACATCCATAAATTCTCTTCCTTACAAGTATCACTTCTAAATGTCTCCAGAGACTTGAGTGAGTATTGTTCGTTTAGGCTGAGACTAGTGAAAATCTAATTGTTTTCCCACCAAGTGTAGTTATTGTAGATTAACCACTTGTCCAATATGTGGACTAGTTGTATGGATGACCAAAGGTGTCTCCCCAGGATAACAGATGAAAGAATACAAATTTTGATGATGAAAGGTTTCTTTAAAAATACCAGTATAAATATTCCTTACATTTTGGAGCAATTTTATTATCTGATTAATAGTCACAGAATAAGTTCCTGGTTGACATCGATGCAGGGTTGTGATGAGCTTATCATACTTTCAGAACTGAAAGAGAACATGTCATCCCCTACGACACCCCGTCGACGTAGCAAGCGAGGTCGCAGCTCTGAGCCTGGCAGCCCCACTGAGAGCGAGGATCCAGGGCAGAGAACGCGTAGGTTTTGAGCTGTCTGTATGAATACAATGTGTTGGGTAGATGTGATGTCTGTAATGGCTCATACCAAATAGGCCGCCTCTGTGGTCTTGTGGTAGAGCGTCCGCCCGGAGAGCGGAAGGTCCGGGGTTTCGATCCCCGGCCGCGTCATACCAAAGGACGTTAAAAGATGGTACTTGTTGTTACCCTGTCTGGCGCTCGGCATTAAGGGGCTAAAACAAGGACTTGGCTTGGTGTCAGTATACTGTGTCTGAGTGGGGTATTCATGTTAAACTGCGGCATGGTATCTCAGTGAGCTAGCACTATCAATCGGCATCAGTCCGGACTAGTACAAGCAGCCACACACACACGTGCATGCACGTCGCTTTATAAAGGCAATAATCTTGGACGCGATGTTAAACCCAATTTCACCTCACCTCATACCAAATAGACAATTGATTGTCTTCGATTCATAGGAAATACGAGTGACATCCCCTTTTACTATTGGGGAGTCCCCCATTGGGATTCCGGGTTCGGAAAGGTCCCCACAACCTTTGGTTGTTGCAAGAGGCGAGCAAATAAATGTTGATCAGGCTTGGTGACTGTTGATTGTCTTTGTACCCCAATAGCTTTCAACATGGCTAACAATATCGCTCACTGGATTGTCTGGTCTAGACATGATAATTTACAGGCTGTTGTGATATTTGCTGGAATTTGTTGAGTAGCGTCAAACAAAGCAAAAGACTTGAGTAGATGGCAATGCTACAACAGATCTTTTATCTCCCTCCGCACCTTGGTTTAAAAAACGGGTGAAACTTGCTACACAGATTTCCGGAATTTGTAGGTAAAAATAGCTCAAACAAAGATAATGTGTGAAATTTATTCCCAGATGTTAAATATGTGTTTTGTGATGCCCGTTTCCATTTGTGATAAAGACATTTTGCTCTCGGGTAAAACACTGGGATGGGTGGCTATCTGACATACCAGTAATTTTTGGCATAAAGAGGTTGGCACTACTTTGTCCAATTTGACCACAATTAGATATTAGATTTGTATTTCACCCACAAATATTAGGTGCTGTTATATATTGTTCTTTCTTTTAGCATCTCGTAGAAGCACACGATCCGGGGCTAGTACACGTAAGTTGCAAGATCTTTTCTAAAACCTGTGTACTTCTGTAGAAAGGAACAATCTGCATTGAATGCAATGTTGATGTATCTCTGAAAATAAAAAATAGAAATTAGAATTTAAAAATCCCAATTCAAAACAAAATGGTTGTTTTCCCAATTTATCTGCCAAGGGAAATTAGTTAAAAATTCTAGATAAAATCCTGCTTTGCTTCAGCCTCTTCCACACGAGGCAGCGCCAAGAAGTCTGCCAAGAAGACTGGAGAAGGTTCCTCGCCACCATCCCGCCGCCGCCGAGTTGATGCATCCCCCGGCAGCGACCTCGCACCCATGCCGTCCTCACCCCCCTCTGGGCAGGCTGGGGACGAGAGTCTCTTCTCAAGTCCTAAGAATGGGAGTAAGTTAACAACTTGATAATATTTGAAAGTCTGGCTCGGACTACTGTTAAGTATAGTGTTACGTGTTGATTTCCAAATTGATACAAAAAGGTCAGCTCAGAAATTGGTTTGTACAGAACTAAATTGGAAAATCAGTATACAACCATGATAACCACTCTCTATTACGAATAATCAACAACACTCACAAATGTCCAGAATATTTTTACTGTTCTTGTGAATCCAGAATATGGTAGGAATCCTGTCTGCATTTGTCGGTAGATAAGATGCAAGTCAAGTCATACGAGGCCTCTATTTGACGCCTGTCACTCTCATGTAGGTACAGCCAGCCTTCTAGAAACTGCTACATCACAAAATTTCTTGAACGATGAAATCTGTCCTGAGTTTGTAAACAACCAAAGGCAGATAACTCTAAATCACACTTCCTGTCACAATTTGCAACTACAGCACTTGATATTTTACGAGCCACTCGGACATTTACTGCCACTGACAATTAGATAAACTTAACAGATCTACTGCCACACAACTGTTTCTGATATGGCTGAAAAGAACTTGTTGATACTTGTTTGATTTCAAAAGGGCTGAATACAATTTGGATCTTGGTTAAGCACTCTGACTCGACTGACAGTGTCAATTTTAACCTGACTTGCTATCAAACTAGTTTTTGCTCTTGTGATATGATTCATAGTTTGCTGACTGTGTTAAACTCAAGACATAATTTCACAATATTCCTTTTAATTTTCAGTTCCTACAAGCGAGATCGATTTGAGCTCTCCTCTTAACTATGGCACCCCAAGTTCCCGGGGCGGTATTGGCACTCCCCGCACTCCAGGGCTTGGCCAGACCCCGGTCAGACACCGATCGGACATACGGAGCAGCAAGAAAATGAAACAAGTGGCAATTGGAGGGTCCGAACCATCTGTAAGGAATCTATGTTTAAAACAAAATTAAGAAAATGTTTTTACAAATTCACTCAATTCCCCTTTGAAACTGTTCTTCACCTTTCTCAACATTCTCTATATCTGCAGGACTCCTATTTTGGTAAACCTACACTAACCCCTGGATCTATTCTCGTGGTTCTCACGATCTAAAATTAGCCACCCTTGACCTTCAAATAAATCGTGGGGGCAGTAGTGGCCCAGTCGTCTGAGGCGCAGTGATTCGCTGGGCAGAGTTGCGTCCCTTGGGCACGCCAGAAACCTATGATTGTGGGTTCGAATCCCGTTTCACCCCGATTATGTTTCAGGGTTTATCAGCACCATACCCGTGGTCGTGGGTTTCACCGAAGTGGTAAACGCCTGAGACCCGCATCACTTCGGGCTTTCCTCCCTCATTAAGCTGACACGCTGTGATGCAACTGGAATACTGTTAAAAGTGGCGTTAAACCCAACTCACTCACTCACTCAAATAAATCAGTTGTGATGCCAACCATTACTCTTTTGGCGTAAAAATTATACCCCAATCACGTGGATCATTGCTCATACTATCGATCACTGGATCATCTTGTCCACTTGATTAATTACAGGATGCTGGAGTGTGACATTAAACAACGAACAAATGCTTTTTAACAAATGATTTCAAGTTCCCAAACCCATTCCATGTTTTGTAGGAACCCACTCGTGTGACCAGCGAGCTTGGCACGGACTCGAACAGTGGACCTCAGTTGGTTATCTGGGGAACAGATGTGGACATCGAACAGTGCAAGGACAAATTCAAGCGTTTCATCACCAAATACATCGACCATGACGTCGCAGACGATGAGCAGTTTGCAGGGATGGATATCAACGAACCGTACTATCTGCAGAGATTGGCTGAGGTACAAATCCATTCAATTATTTGTGAATTCCAAATGTCAAAGAATTGGGTTCAGTTTTAATTTCATTCAAATTTTAACCACATTCATGTTTTGGTGGGGCATGGGGTGCGCAGTGCAATTCCCTTAGCAGAGTTGTGTCCCTATGGCAGTCCAGAAACTTTGGATTGTGGGTTTGAACTCACAGTTCGCCCCAATTATGTTTCTAGGTTTGTCAACACCATACCCGTTATCGTGGGTTTCACCAAAGTAGTAAACGTCTCAGACCTGCATCTCTTTGGGCTTTCCTCCTACATCAAGCTGACATGCTGTGATATAACTGGAATAGTGTTAATAGCGGCATTAAACCCACTCACTCACACATAATGATTTTGAACCCATACAGTGAAACAATTTTGTTAATGATTCTGTCCTTATTGAGAACAGGTGGACATTATTATTTTCCCCAGCCCAACAAAGTTGGCGGGGGAATATAGAAACGGGCTCAGTCCGTCACGTTTCGTTTCCGGAGCATAACTCAGAAACCGTTCAATATTTTTATGAAACTTTGCAGGTCTGTCAAGTACATGCTTTTGCTATTTAGAAATTTTAAATTTTTTTATTTTTTATGTTTCCATGGCAACAAAATGGACTTATGTTCTGTAAGGGTAGGGTTCGTTTCTGGAGCATAACTCATAAACCGTTCAATACTTTTTCATGAAACTTTGCAGGTTTGTCAGGTTCATGCTGAACTGGTGCCTTTTGCTATTTAGAAATTTTTGAAATTCTTATTTTGTTATGTTTCCATGGCAACAAGATGGACTTAGGTTCCAAACTCTTCTTTTTTTTACAATTTCCATGACAAGTATCACCTCGGCTAAAAAAGGTTAGGCTTTGTTTAGATTTAATTATGTCATAAATTCTGCAACAGGGGCGGGGGATATAGCCATGTTAGTGGCAAACTCTTGTTACTTATTGTAAGGGTGACTCAATTACAATGGTCATCATACCTCGACAGAATGGGGCGTTGCTCATGACATCAACCACTGTTTTGCCTGGCCAGATGTGATTATGTCCCCCTTGACTTTGCTGGAGGGGTACAGAGGCGCAGTACAACCAAATCTTATCAGGAATATTTTTAGTCTAACATGCAATGCAGCGTTGATCACATCCGTTTCAGATCAATGCAATTGGAGAGCCATTCCTGAACATCAACAGCAAGCACCTGCAGGAGTTTGACACGGAGGTGTACCGTCAGCTGGTCAACTACCCACAGGAAGTCATTCCCACATTCGATATGGCCGTCAACGAAATGTTCTTTGAAAAATACCCAGATGCTGTCCTTAACCATACCATCCAAGTCAGACCGTTTAATTCTGACAAGACGAAAAACATGAGATCACTCAATCCTGAAGGTATGTTTACAGTGTGTGAAGTCCATGTTTGTTGGGTGGGTACTGAGGGACTGTTGAGGTTTTTGTTTTTACGTATGTTTTTTTGTCATCTATAATTATTCATGTCAATGAGGACAATTGCATATGGATATATGGATTGGTGGAGACCATTCTAATACATTGTTGAAATGTTGATGTTTGCAGAATAAATTTAGAGTTATGTCCCTTGTCCTTGCCACACAGACTTTTATAATTTTTATAAATTTTTAATATACTTTTTATATACTTTTTATATACTTTTTATATAATTTGTATTCCTTCTCGGACTATGACTAAGAAAATCTGTGATCCAACAAATAAATGAATCGTGGACTAAGATTAAAAAATATGTACGTGTTTGTTTCAGATATTGACAAGTTGCTGACAATCGGTGGAATGGTGATCCGACTGTCATCTCTGATCCCCGAAATGAGAGAAGCGTTCTTCCGGTGTCATGTGTGTTCCAGCTCCAAGTCGGTGGAGATCGACCGTGGCCGTATCGCTGAGCCGACTCTCTGTACCAACTGCAACACCAACCACTCCTTCACACTGGTGCACAACCGCTCTCAGTTCAGTGACAAACAGATGATCAAGCTCCAGGAATCTCCAGGTAAACGTCACTTGTGTCTGATAAACCCTCACAGGATTCCAAAGCAGAAAGGTTGACAGGTCACCAGTACCAGGGGCTTGTCGTAAGAGTAGTACCAGTATGTGATCTGAAGGATTGCCCTCGTTCCTGCATCCTCCTGAGGCAAGGGAGTTAACTGACTTTAAAAGTCCAGTTTCCACCCTTGCCGAACTAGGCTGGAATTTCTGTGCTCGATCGTAGCGCCACCAGTTGCTATTGAGAGTTAACATCCCTTCCATGTCCCTGCTACTGACCAATCAAATCCCACATCATATAACTTGCATTTGCTTCAAATAAAATGGCGTCACACAGTGAAGATGATCTAATTGATAATCATGACCTATATTGTAATGAAACGGGTGTTACTTCATCAAATCACATGAGTACCTTGATTTAAAACATCCAAAATCTGCACAGCATTTTACAAACCGGATGTTGATTTCGCTACATGATTTTGATTTGCCTGCGTATAGACTCGTTAGTCCAGCCACAATTCCAGCCTAGTTCGTCTAGGGAGGACTGGACTGGACTTTTATAGTCTGTTAACTCCCTTCCCTCAGAAAGATGTCAGTCCTGATGTCAAGGATCAGCTGCTGTATTGTGTATTGTACAAATATGATTATCTACTGACCGACACACGTGTTGGAATATAGCTGGCATTGAACAACAAACATTCTGCTGTTAAATTTCAAAAGTTAAGGTATGGCTGCCTTGGGCATTATGTCTGTGGCGTTCGGGTAGCCTAGTGGTTAAAGTGTTCGCTCGTCACGCCGCAGACCAGGGTTCGATTCCAGACATGGGTACAATGTGTGAAGCCCATTTCTGGTTCCGCCGTGATGTTGCTGGAATATTGCTAAAAATGGCGTAAAACCATACTCACTCACTCACTCGTTTCTGAATTTCTACTGGTATACTAGCCTATCGAATGAAATTAAAGTAAGCGTTTCTAATCCAGTTATTTCTGATGACACGTTAAACCGATCCTGTGCTGTCAAATCCTGAAATGAAATGTTTTGTGTTGACAGAGGACATGCCCCCTGGTCAGACTCCCCACACCGTCATCCTGTATGCCCACAACGACTTAGTGGACCGCGTCCAGCCTGGCGACAGAGTGACCGTCACTGGCATCTACAGGGCCACACCCCTCAGGGTCAACCCCAAGATGAGGAATGTGAAGTCGGTGTACAAGACCCACATCGATGTCGTCCACTTCCGCAAGGTGGATCAGAAGCGGCTGCGAGAGGTGGATGAAGAGGATGGGTAAGGGGTTACCAGAGATACATCCAGGGTACTTGATTGCTAAATTCATGTAGCGTAACATGCAGGGTTTGATTTAACTGTTGGCCCATGGCCAGTTATAATTACAAAAGCCTGGCTGAGGTGTAAAGGAGATGGCCCATCTGGTCAGTCAAAATTTGACCCCTTCTCCATGTATGGTCACTGCTCGGGAATCATGTAATTTTTATGAGAAAATATTTAGGATATTTCTGTAATGTTGTGTTAGACAACGTCTTGATTTGTTCATAAATCGCCACGAAATGAGGCAAATAGATGCCAAGATTGGAGGAAAAGGGTGAGGAGTTCAAAATTTTCGAGTAACTGGGTTGATATGTGCTTGGGCTTGGCCGCTTTGCAGCCTCCATCATTTAGTTGTTGGCCAATAGTCTGGAAAGGGCCAGTAAGTTTTGAAAGGAGCAAGCCCTGGTTGCTATATACAAATTTGTTAAACCTACCCCTCACATGCCTGCAAATTTATCATTTTAATGGGTTTTTTGGAGAACACTAATACTGTCATTCATATTCAGTTGTGTAAAGTGAGAGTGAGTGAGGATGGTTTTACGCCGCTTTTAGCAATATTCCAGCAATATCACTGCGGGTGACACCAGAAATGGGCTTCACACATTGTACCCATGTCAGGAATCGAACCCGGGTCTTTGGCTTGACGAGCCAATGCTTTAACCACTAGGCTACCCGACCGCCCCTTGTGTAAAGTGTGACCAAATGGTTTGAATACAAGAATATATAAATACTTCCAATATAAGAACACCCATCACAGTCAATGACAAGGGTTGTCAAAGCAGCCAATGAGAGGGTTTATTACAGTCCTATTTAAGAATATGCTTTTGGTCCAATCACAATTCATGATTCAAAGAAATAATTTCTAGGTCCTGTTGTCATACATTAGAAATCGATCAGAGATACGAATGTAACAGATTATGACAGTTCTTTAGAAAACTGAAAAGAAAAAATAAATCTGAATTATTTATTTACATGGTCAGTGTTGTGATAAACGTGTACACTGTGTGGTGAATGTGTTTGCATAATCCTGCTCCATATTTCAGCAATGAAGCCCGATTCCCTGAAGAGAGAATAGAACTGATTAAGGAGCTGTCAAAGAAGTCGGATGTCTATGAGAGACTGGCCAGGGCGATAGGTACACCATTAACTACTTACAGTGTTATATAGCCGTGAACTGCCTCCGTGGTCTGGTGGTAGAGCGTCCACCCAGAGAATGGAAGGTTGTGGGTTCGATCCCTGGCTGCATCATACCAAAGACATTTAAAGATTGTACTTGTTGTTACCCTTTAAGGTGCTGAAACAAGACTGGACGGCTCGGAGTCAGTATACTGTGTTTCAGTGGGGTATTCATGTTAAACAACGGCATGGTATCTCAGTGGGCTAGCACTATAAAACTGTCTTTAGTCTGGACTAGTACAAGCAGCCACACATGCACACACATTGCTATATAGTAAGACTGAAGCAAAGGCTCTATGGAAGTCGGTAATTATTGACTCATTGACAGTTGCACATCACAAAATTTGAATCAGCAGCTATCAAATTTGGCTTTTTTTTCAAAACTTGAACGAAACTTGTTGGTCTGTTATTGGTCAGGGCTGTTCCCCACGTCAGATTTTAATTTTTTTCATTTTTGGCAAATAGACTTGAGTTTGGTTTAACGCTGTATAAACAGTATTTCAGTTCGATCGTGGCTGTCCGCTTGATGTAGGAGGAGTGTATGAAGTTTTGTAGGTCTTAGACATTTACCACTTGATGCTGACCATACCAAAGACGTTAAAAGATGGTTCTTGTTGTTGCGCTTGGCATTAAGGTGCTAAATCAAGACTGGTCGGCTTGGAGTCAAACTGCGGCAGGGTATCTCATTGGGCTGGCATTATAAAATTGGCATTAATCCGGACTAGTACAAGCAGACACGTGGCTGTCTGAGTCGAATAATCTTGGATGCGTCGTTAAGCCCCATTTCACCTCAGCATATAGCAGTGATGTATCGAGACATGCTCAATGTCAACAGCAAATTTAGGTCAAATTCCTCAAGACCCAGTTTCATGTATATGCGTATACTATTGCAGTGGTAAGTGGAGTGATGGCTCTTTGGAGGTGACTCTTTGTAGAGGCTAACACTTAATGTAAACAAAGTTATTTTAAAGCAAAACTATGAAACTTGTGGTGCTCAACTTGCCATTAATGTTTTGCCCAAATGTACAGTTGAGGAGCCAGAGTAAATAAATCTAGAGTTATGCCCCTTTGTCCTTGATGCAGTCTTTTCCATAATTAACTCCCATAAAGCCTCCAGCAGATGATTTTGGCGAATTCATTTTTTTTGTTAAGGGCGAGGTGAAATGGGGTTTACGTCACGTCCAAGATTAATGCACTTATATAGCGGCGTGCATGCACCTGTGTGTGTGGCTGCTTGTACAGGTCAGGACTGATGCCGATTCACAGTGCTAGCCTACTGAGATGCCATTCCACAGTTTAACAGGAATACCCCACTCAGACACAGTATACTTACTCCCAGCCAACGAATCCTTGTTTTAGCCAGAGCGGCAGTACCATCAACAAGTACCATCTTTTAATGTCTTTTGGAATGACGTGACCGGGAATCAAACCCGCACCTTCTGCTCTACCACCTGACCATGGAGTTTTTTTTGGGTTTTTGTTGGGTTTTTTTTAATGATTAATTTTAAAATTTGGTAATGATACAGGAGAAAGAGACATGAGCAGATGCTATTACCATTGTCTTCAGCAAAATGTCTGAACTAATTAGTCTGATTACGGCACGGAGGTACTACTTCTTATGCAAAACCCTGGTGTACTTGTATCCTCATCAACACAATGTCTTCTCTCTCCAGCTCCCAGCATCTACGAGAACGAAGATATCAAGAAGGGCATCCTGATGCAGTTGTTTGGCGGATGTCGAAAGGATTTCACTAACGCTGGCAGAGGGAAGTTCAGGTAATAAACTTCCCCCTCCCCATCCAAATCCCACTCATATCCTACTTCCCTCGGTGCGCACTATACTCAAGAAAATACGGTATACTCGCAGACAACCAATATCTTTTGAGGTCCCTTTAAATTTACTGCCCCATATCAGATATAAAGCATACATGAAGCACACAACGAATGCTTCCAGTAGATAAATATGTGGCATCGCTGAAAAATCCAGTGCACAGAATCCTGAAAGCTTTGAGCCTTCAACACAGTGCACTACTTGATATGTGTGCTTAAACATATCCATGGGTTAGATGTGATTTGGTATGTTGGGTAGCCTAGTGGTTGAGGTGTAATCCCAGCTGTGATATTGCTGCAACATTGCTAAAAGGGGCATAAACCCTACTCAGTCATTTCATTTGATATCAAGTATCACCATTAGGTTTACAGTAAGGACCCATGGACCTCATTCTTAATTTTAAACACAACTTTGATTATTTTCTTATGTTTTTCATGGGGGCACGGGTGGCCCAGTCGTCTAAGGTGCCACAATTCACTGCAGAGATGTGTCCCTTGGGCACACCAGAAACCAATGATTGTGGGTTTGAATCCCGATTATATTTCTTGGTTTGTCAGCATCATACCCGTGCTCGTGGGCTTCACCGAAGTGGTAAACATCTGGATACCTGCATCACTTCGGGCTTTCCTCCCACATTAAGCTGAACACCGCGATATAACTGGAATGCTGGTAAAAGCAGCCTTAAACCCAACTCACTCTGTTATTTTAGTTTGTCTGTTTCTACCTTCAGATCTGAGATCAACATCTTGCTGTGTGGCGACCCCGGTACCAGCAAGTCACAACTGCTACAGTACGTCCACCACCTGGTACCTCGAGGTCAGTACACCTCCGGCAAGGGGTCAAGTGCTGTTGGTCTCACAGCTTATGTCACAAAGGACCCAGAGACAAGACAGTTGGTTCTTCAAACGTAAGTTTATTTGCCTCCTTATTAGGTCGGGAACATAGGGTAGTTTTAAAAAAACATGGCTCACACTGTGCTTGTGCCCAACATCGTAAAGTACATGGTGACCCCAGATGGAGCATTGTTTAAATATTGATGTTGAACTTTTATCACTTCCTCAGAATAATGTTGCAAAATACCCTTCAATGTTTACTGATTATATGTCATTAACTGATAAGATATGTTTTGCAGTGGCGCATTGGTGTTGAGTGACAACGGAGTGTGCTGTATTGACGAGTTTGACAAGATGAATGACAGCACTCGCTCAATTCTTCATGAAGTTATGGTAAGTAGTCAGTTGTGAGGAGCACTGCTAGTGTTGTGTTTTGAGAATTGCTAGTGTTGTGTTGTGAGAATTGCTACTGTTGTGTTACTGCCATCAATTGTGTTGTCAGAAGATATTACTGCGTATTGGCTGTCATAAGTTAAGCTTGCTTTACAACAATTGTACCAGACTTGGTATATTGACAAGAGGTACTAGTTTCTCCTTCGTCTCAACAGGAGCAGCAGACACTGTCCATTGCCAAGGCTGGGATCATCTGCTCCCTGAACGCGAGAACGTCCATCCTGGCTGCGGCCAACCCGGTCGACTCCCAGTGGAACAAGAACCGCACCATCACCGAGAACATCCTGCTGCCACATACCCTGCTGTCCAGGTGAGCTATAGCAAAACCAGGGCGGAATCAGGGGCAGAATAGGCCCTCAATATCTCCAGTGGGGATTCTACTGTAGAATTGGTCTCCAGTACCCCATACTTGTCACCCTGTTGGGATTCCAGGGCAGAATAGATCCCCAGTACCCCTCGCTTGTCTCCCTGTGGGGATTCCAGGTCAGAAGAGGTCCCCAGTTCCCCATGCTTGTCTCTCTGTAGGGATTCCAGGGCAGAAGAGGTCCCCAGTACCCCATGCTTGTCTCCCTGTGGGGATTCTGGGTCAGAATAGGTCCCCAGTACCACATGCTTTTCTCCCTGTGGGGATTCCAGGGCAGAAGAGACCCCCAGTACCCACCCCATGCTTACACATCACTGATTAGTATTATCCGTATGAGTCACTCTATCAGGTTCTTTTGCTTTTCAGATTTGATCTGATCTTTTTGATCTTGGACCCTCAGGACGAGCTGTACGACAGACGACTGGCCAACCATCTTGTATCTCTCTACTTCAAGAGTCCAGAAGACTCCCAGGACGAACACCTGGTATGATAAACACAGGGAGGGAAGGGGCACAGTATCCCCGCACCTCGGTGAAAAATTGTCCAGCCAAGCTTTATGCATGCTCACTCACTCACTCAAGCCTCTTTGGGAATCTGGGGCGGTGGGGTAGCCTAGTGGTTAAAGCGTTGGCTCATTAAGCCGAAGACCTGGGGTCGATTCCTGACATGGGTACAATTTGTGAAGCCAATTTTCCGGTGTCCCCCACTGTGATAATGCTGAAATATTGCTAAGAGCAGCGTAAAACCATACTCACTCACTCTTTGGTACTCTATGATTCCAGCTGGCAGATTATTCAAGTGTTTTGAAAGTCAATCTAAAGAACAGGACTTGATTTAGATTGTGGATATGACTTTCAGGGCAGTGTCAGACAGTTATTCAATAGTGATTAGTGAAAAGTCGTAAAGCGTAGCATTGTTACATATGCAACTAGTCCAAAAACGGATTAATGACAGAGTTGAATGGTGGTTCTACCTGGTATAGGAGTTCTTGGTTAACCTTCCTTTGGTATTGGTGCAAAGTCTTTGCTGCTGAAACTAGAAATCATGTGTCTATATCCCTAGTACCCCTGCTGGGTGCAAGGGCCAACAAATTAGGACAGGTGGCTGAGACACTGTATGAGTGGATGATTAAATCCCACCCAAACTTCATCGATCTTTGTGAATGCGCAACATTCATTTGGCTGGCAAATACCTGAATGTTTACAGGCCTGTGATACAGCTGGAATACTGCTGTGGCACAAAACAACATTCACTCGCACATGAAGTGTGGGATATGCTTTTTGTTACCATGGTTACTGCCTCCATATTATGTGCCTCAACCCTATAAGGAACATGGGTGTCTTGAGAAGCAGAAATTTGCTGTGTTGTGTCCTTTAGATTAGCCAGAAATGTATGATCGTAGTTCAAATTATAGTTGCCCTGATTATGTTACTTAGTTTTTTTGGGACCATACTGTTCTCTTAGGTTTCACGAGGGTCACGGGTGGCCCAGTCGTCTAAGGTGCTGCGATTCGCTGTGCAGAGTTGCGTCCCTTGGGCACGCCAGAAACCTATGATTGTGGGTTCAAATCCCGGTTCGACACGATTATGTTTCTAAGTTTGTCAGCACCATACCCGTTCTTGTGGGTTTCACCGAAGTGGTAAACGTCTGACACCTGCATCACTTCGGACTTTCCTCCCACATTAAGCTGTCACGCCGCGATATAACTGGAATACTGTTAAAAGCGGCGTTAAACCAAAGTCACTCATTCACTCTTAGGTTTCACCAAAGTGGCAAATTGTCTAATGTCTGCCATCTTCAAGGCAAAGGTAATGAAATGACGAAAAAAGTCCAATTTCCACCCTTGCCGAACTAGGCTGGAATTATGAGATATTTTAGATGGACTAACGAGTCTATGCATAGTCCAAACAAAATCTCGTAACAAAATCAACATCCTGTTCGTAAACTGCAGTGCAGATTTCGGTCGATTTGCAAACCTGTGTACCGACCACTCTGCATCAACAAAAATGTTCCAAATGTTTTCATACTTTTAATCAAGGTGCTCACATGAATAGATGCACTTCACAAGTAAGACCCGTTTTATTACAATATTGATCTTAATAATCGCTCAGATTATCTTCAACCGGAAATATTTTTTTGAAACAAATGGAAGTGATATGAGAGGTGATAATAGGGACATAATAGCCACTGGTGGCCCTACGACTGAGCCCAGAAACTTCAGCCTAGTTCGGCAAGTGTGGACACTGGACTTATACACTCAGTTAATCTCCTTGCCTGTGGACACACTGCGATACAACTATCTGAAATACTGTTTAAAGTCGCATCAAAACCAGACTGTCTGACAACAAGCTGTCACCCCACTTCTGTCTCCAGGACATGTCTATACTGAAGGACTACATCGGGTACGCCAAGCGCTACATCAACCCCAGGATTGACGAGGATGCTGGTCAGGCCTTCATCCAGGCATATGTCGAGATGAGGAAGGTCGGCAGCAGCAGAGGCCAGGTGTCCGCCTACCCTCGGCAGCTGGAATCTCTCATCCGATTGGCAGAGGCACATGCCAGAATGAGGCTGTCAGAGACCGTTGAGGTGGCAGATGTTGAAGAAGGTCGCAGGTGAGGAATCGTTCAGTGGGTTTTTTTGACAGGAAAGATCTTTAGAACCATTTCGTAAAGAGTCAGTTATCAAAAAGAGAAATGACAGGGTTGTGACGGTCATTATGTCTCCCCCAGAATGGAGGGAGACATATTGTTTTTGGCACGGTTCCCGTCGGCGTTCCCACCGTTTCCAGACCATAACTCAGAAACCGTTTAATATTTTTTCGCGAAACTTTGTATACACATTAACCCAGCACTGAAGTGGTGCCTTTTGCTATTTAGAGATTTTTGACATTTTTATTTTTTCTCGTTTCCATGGAGATAACTTGAACATAGACTCTGAATGGGGGTAAGCTTGGTTTCCTGACCATAACTCGGAAACCGTTTAATATTTTTTCACGAAACTTTGTATACACATTAACCCAGCACTGAAGTGGTGCCTTTTGCTATTTAGAGATTTTTGACATTTTTATTTTTTCTCGTTTCCATGGAGATAAGTTGAACATAGGCTCTGAATGGGGGTAAGCTTTGTTTCCTGACCATAACTCGGAAACCGTTTAATATTTTTTCGCGAAACTTTGTATACACATTAACCCAGCCCTGAAGTGGTGCCTTTTGCTATTTAGAGATTTTTGACATTTTTATTTTTTCTCGTTTCCATGGAGATAAGTTGAACATAGACTCTGAATGGGGGTAAGCTTTGTTTCCTGACCATAACTCGGAAACCGTTTAATATTTTTTCGCGAAACTTTGTATACACATTAACCCAGCACTGAAGTGGTGCCCATTAGTTGTTTTAAATTTCTAGGAGTTCTATTTTTGTCTCTGTTATTTAGTAATGGAGGGTGGGAATGAAGAGATGGGGTTTAACGTGAAGTAAACGAATGAATGGGGGTTAGGGGAGTGGGGGGAGACATATGTTTTTACGAGTAAAAACACTTTCTAGTTTAATATGGCTGCAAGAAGAGGGTGTGACTTCTATTTGTTATGAGAGAATTTAAATGGAGTTTAATGGCACGGACAAGATCATTCCTGTTGTATACAGCATTGTATGTATCTGCTTGTACTAGTCCAGACTGGTTTTATTGTGCTTGCGTATTGAGATACCATGGTGTAGTTTCAACATAGATACCCCAATCAGACTCCGAGCCAACCAGTCCTTGTTTTGTCCCTATAACGCTGAGCTCAGGGTAACAAGTACTATCTTTTTTCATCTTTGGGCAGACAATAAGATAACTGGGCAATGGTTACTTTTAAATAGTCAGTTTAGGATATGGCAAACTGATAGAGATTATGCAATAATCAAGGGATACACGTAACATCACATGCTCAAACAAGTGCCCGGTTTGTTTCCCAGGCTGTACAAGGAGGCCTTGAAGCAGGCTGCAGTGGACCCGTCAACGGGCAAGATCGACATCTCCATTCTGACCACGGGCATCAGCGGTGCTGCTAGGAAACGCAAGGCAGAGGTGGCACAGGTGTTGAAGAAACTGATTCAGTCCAAGGGGAAGGTTCCAAGTCTCAAACATGGCAAGCTGTACGAAGACTTCAGGGACAAGTCTGACATTGTAAGTTTTATTTTAGCTTCATACGAAATGATGGATTGCTACTGTTTATTTGGTAGAGACCTCTTAATCCCTTACTTCGCTTGTCACGCTGAAGACTCGGGTTTGATTCCCAACATGGGTACCATGTGTGAAGCCCATTTCTGGTGTCCCCTGCCATGATATTGCTGGAATATTGCTAAAAGAGGCGTAAAACCAAATTCACTCAGTCTTACAGTGTCGTGTTTGAATTTAGAGGGTCTTTTAACCACGGTGTTGGCTTTTGATTCAACAAAATCAGCTTTAAAAAATCTTAAAGAACTTGCAACCTTATTACTATGTAAATTATCTAATTTCAGCCAATCACACGAGACATGTTCGATGAAGCTCTCAAAGAACTACAGGATGAAGATTTCCTGATCGTCACCAACAAGGTCATTCGACTGTGCACATAACTGCCATGTGATTGTCACAAGACGACACTCAACCGTGAATTTGGGCCAGTTACAGTGTGACATGTCACATTAAAACATGTGTAAATAATTGGAAAGCAGTGACAGTACTCTCAGATGCAAGAACTGCTTTTCTCTGTACAGAATCGATCATGAATATTTGGATGTTCTCGGATACCAATTGCATTTACTTGTATAGAAATTGTTACTGAATTTAATGGATATTTGAAGTTTTTCTGATAATGTTGCATTTACCTGTATAGACACTTGTTATGGATGAAGTATTGTGGAGATGGTCCTCGGATACCAACATTGCATTTACCTGTAAAGCACCCAGAGTCTTGGGTATCTGTACATAGCTGTACATTCAAACACTTTATGTTCCTGTAAAAGCGCTGATTGGAATAAAAGACTTTTATATGGAAAATGTGTGTTCTTAACATGCTATAACATTTATTTGGTGCTGTAGCAATAGTTGTGCACATTTGTGTTTCTGAAATAGTGCCTTTACTATTCAGAGTTGCATCCCTTGGTCCACCAGGCATGTTTCACCAGATTGCTAGATCCAATCTCATTGAAATCAGACCTCAGTTCTTGCTACTGCAAAACAAAGATCTGGGGACATCCCGTTCGACCAATCAGAGCATCGCTTACCAGATTATGAAAGTGACAGTCGGAATGTGATTGCTAATCATGCAACCTCGAAAACTTTTAACTCCGAACGATAGTTACGGGTTTAACAACTGAATCCATACAACCTAGACCATCTATTAGCCATTCCAGAATGCTCTTTTGTTCAGGTTTCAAATTTGTAATAGAGAATTTGAGAAAATATGTTTCGAAGTGTAGTCGCCAATTTGAAATTAGTGCGGTAAAGCACGAGAAAGCTGCCTTCTGATATTGGTCATTCCATTGGTCGGTCAAAGTTCATGCAAGGTCGGTCTGAAGTGACCCGTATTTAGCGGTAGCGAGAACTAAGATCTGATTGTAATGAGATTGTACTAGATCTAACCTTCCCTTCTTTGTCTGTGCAAATGCTACTATATATCCTCAGTAAACTTGGCACATGGACAGGTCTAATGGTGAACTTTGAGAAGTTTTCAAATTTCCATGGCTGGAAAATGGTGGTTACTGAACAAACCTTGGCACACAGATAACAGTGATGGCCTTTGATTTGGATATATACTTGCCTGTTATGTTGTATCACATGTGACTCTATAGCTAATCGTGCACAAGACAAATGGTGCATCTGAAGTTTGGAAATCACGTGCAGCATATCGTGATAACACTTGAGTGTTTGTTAAATTTGTCATTGAGTGTTGGAAACATTCTGTTTCTAAGGTTTGCATTTCTTTTGGTAGGTGATCAGTTATTTGGACACCATTGCGAGGGATCACACACTACTTTATGTATTGCAGGAGATATTCTCTTGTTATATTTGTTACATATATATTACAGCAACTTATTGATCGACCATTGATCCATTTACTCACCTCGTACAACTAGTTGAATGGGTTGAAATAGAAAAAGGGAAAACATTACTGGTCTACTCCCATCAGTGATTCTGAGTTGAGTAACTTGCAAGGTTCGATCCCGGGATTAGACGTTAGTTTAACGCCACACTCCGTGTATTCCTGCCATAAGACATCAGTCTGTAAGTAATAAGTCCGAACCAGACGACCCAGTGATTGAGATCGTGCATGGATCTATGCAATGGGGATATGATGACACATCAAGCAAATTCGCAAGCTTGACCCACCAATCCCGATGGTTATCTCTTACAAGACCTCTTGACCAATTGTAACCTGGATCTTCACAGGAAGGGATATTCCAGGTAAAGGTCTCCAAAAACCCACGTTTGTCACAAGAGATGACTAAACGGTCAGGCTTGGTGACTTGATTGTCATCGTGCCATGCTAAGGATCACCACTTTGAAAGGTAATACATCAAATTGTGTGCATCCATTGAAATATCCAAAGACATGTTTAAGGTGCTACACAATGCCAACACCTGTCCAAACTGTAGCATCAAGTAATCACGAAAACAAATTTATAGTAAAGAACGAACTCAGTAGTGCATGTGTGATCCACGTGATGCAATCGCCGCCCCAAACAAGTGTCAAATTGTTCGACTCTTCAGTGAGAGCATTGCAGAGTTCCTGTAGAGTAGGAAGGGGTAATCTGCAGCTCGTTCCACGTGTTTAAAAGGGTTGAGATCAATGGTCTTCTGCTCTAAATAGGTAACCTGTGAAGATCGGGTAGAATATTTCTTCAGCTACCCATGCTTGCCGTAAAAGGCGACTAACGGGATCGGGTGGTCAGGCTCGCTAACTTGGTTGATGCATGTCATGTATCCCAATTGCATGGATCGATGTTCATGATGTCAATCACTGGATTGTCTGGTCCAGACTTGATTATTTACAGACCGCTGGAATATTGCCGAGTGCGGCGATCAACAACAAACCAACTATGAGAACGAAGTCCGGGCCAATTGCACCAGCAAACAGTCTCGCGTACACATCCTGAATGTCATCCCTGTAGTGCACTACCTCAGTACCTGTTCTTCTAGCTCTACTGATCTCCTCCATCCACAGTGGTCATGTTCGGCTGTATTGGAATGCTGAAATATTTCTCCTTTGGCGTGACGATCTTTGAGGTCTAGACTATGTTGATTCAGTTACAAGTACTGGAGCCTGATCTTCAGCCCAATCCAAAAAGGTGCCTGACTGATGTCAGGTTCGTGGTATGCGAAGGCATGCCCTCTGTGACCGGATACCAGCCTCAGACAGTCAGTAGAAACGCTAACACCGGTGGTGTGGTGGCAGTCACAAAGTTATAACGTCTTCCTGCCGTGGAATGCTGTCGATCACATGCATGTCGTCAGGTAGATTATCCAAACGTCTGGTTCCCAGTTTCAAACATGCCAATTCTTCAGTTGTCAAACGACGCTGAGGGGGCATCAGTGCATTTAGCTCAGTTGCAAATGTTATGCTCTCTGATAATGATGTGCAAAGAATCTGTCAATTCATCCAAACACGGGTTTTTGAGCACATCTGTCTGTTCGTCATGAAATTGAGGTCCTTTAGGGACAATCATGTGTGTACCGAGATATTTCAATCTTTATTTGTTCAATGATACTTTGACATCATCAAACCTTGATCCTCAGCAAACTTTGAGGTGTATATTATAGTAAATCTGGTCTAGACATGGTGATGCTAGAATAGACTTGTAAAATTGTTGCTGCACAAGTCAATAACTAACACTATGCTTCTCTTGAGACTTTTATTCTGCCATCAGTATAAAAATATGACAGTTACAGATTATTGCAAAATTTATCATGTGTCTGGTATGAACTCTGGAATAGTGAAGGTGTTTTAAATCTAAGACATCACAACCAAACAAAGGAAGCCATACATAACCTCAGTACTCCAGACCCCCAATAATACAGAAACCCTGAAATCAGGGCAAGCATGGATAACAACAAAGGACTTCTAGTTTGAGCAAAATCAACACATGCTGCATTTTGAGAACCTTAAATAAAATATACTTCTCAACTTCTGATAAGGATATTGTTTCTCTTTCCATGATGCAACAAATTCTCACATCAGAATGATTATTATGTCTATCAAACGTTGAGTGGTATAATCAAGGGTCACAACTGTTGCCTTTCAATTGAAGTGTAGTTAGTTAGCTGCCCTTGTGTACTTGGATAAGAAGAAAAATGGATGCACAAAGTGAAAACTGACAACCAATTTCAGTTACGATAGTTACAATGAAGTGAAGTGAAGCATTTTAAGCAATTTTAAATTGGGTGTCTGGTTTAGTGAGGGTTTGCTATATGTACCGCAGCCCTCATGCCTCTGACCACCATATTACTGTAGTAATAATACAGGGCCTTTTACATAAATGTCACATGGAAAATAAATCCTGTTGACCTTGGTTTTTATGCACAATCCAATATAAAGTAGATAGTTTCTTGCATGGAGTCTTGCAACTGGGAATGTGATGATTTGGTTGTATCTACAAGAACATGGGATGTACATATGTAGGATGCTGATGAGGGCTGGGAGGAGTCCAAATAAACACCCAGGAGCCCGGCCACTGCTTCTCAAACTGACCCCGGTGACTCCTGCCCAGACCAACCCTTCAAAGTGACTGAGTTACCCTTTTGACCTCCTCTTCAAACTGACCAAGATCCCTATTCCTCCCCGAACCAACCCCTAAAAATGACCAAGATCCCTACCCCACCACCTTGAACTGACCCAAGCCCCTTCTCAAAATGACCAAGATACCTGTTCCACCTCCTCTTCAAACTGACCAAGATCCCTATTCCTCCCCGAACCAACCCCTAAAAATGACCAAGATCCCTACCCCACCACCTTGAACTGACCCAAGCCCCTTCTCAAAATGACCAAGATACCTGTTCCACCTCCTCTTCAAACTGACCAAGATCCCTATTCCTCCCTGAACCGACCCCTGCAACTCCTAAAAATGACAAGATTCCTACTCCACCACCTTGAACTGACCCCCAGCAACTCCTAAAAATGACCAAGATACCTGTCCCACCTCCTCTTCAAACTGACCAAGATCCCTCTTCCTCCACCTGACCCCTGCCACTCCCAACTGACCTGGATACCTGCTAAGCTTCTTGAATCAATCCCCAAGCCATTTCTGGCACTATTCACTGGGCATTTGTTCTGTAACCATCACAGTGAATGCTACTTCCATACTTGCCTTAATAATGATGATTCATAATGAAAAAATATTTTTACAGCAAAGAATGTGCTGAGTCTGCAATGACTTTATTCATAAACATGGAAACAAAATTGTTATATTTCAAATCATTTCAAACTTGGGTGTATATAAACAGTATACATATTATGGCGACAAATATAAGTCAATAAAGGACAAATGAAAAAGTCAACTGAAGTCAATTTCTACTAGGTAGTATATTTTCTGAACCGTATCTGGGTCTTTCGAACCCATCCCAGCCCTGACAATCAACAGCCTGTGACAACATTCATTCAGATGTGAGGAACATGGCATCAATGAATCATTTCTCATTCAACAATCACAAATAACAGTGAACAACAATTGATAACAACGTCTGTTAAGAAATCGTAACGGTTAACATTCCATCGGCTAACTATCTGATCAGGCGTCGGAGTAATTCCTTGATTGGATAGTAACGAGGTGAAAATAACATTAAAGAAGGCAGAACGTGTTGCAGTAAATTGATATTTAATCCGTGTCTTAATTTGAAGCTGGGTTATTAGTTTGAAAACAGTTGTATGGGGAATTAGAAGCAGTCCCATCATAATTATTCAGAGGACTTGACCACTCACTACGAGTGAGTGAGTGAGTTGGGTTTAACGCTGCTTTTAACATTATTTCAGTTAAATCGCGGCATGTCAGCTTAATTTAGGAG